TTTTTTGTTCCCTAATGCACTGACATTTCTGTTTATGTTTAATTTTGATTGATGCTGTTAGCCAAGTAAAGGTCTGTGCTTCTATTGTCTCATGAATAGTTTCTCCTATGTACCACTGTTGGAAAATATTACGTTTTTATTACATTATTATAATTGTGCAACTAAGGTCAAAAACATATGCATATTTACAATAACTATGCATTCCCATAACCTTTAGAGGCAAACCCGGGAGTACATAATCAAGGGAGCTGCCATTTCTATTTTTCCAAAATAAAATGACTGACGCATGGATCTTCACATATATAGAAGCTTCTTGGCTTCACTAAATAGTAGGGATGCACAGATACTTTTCGAATACCAGTGCAGATACTTGGCATTTTAATGAGAACTACCAGGGTTGCAGAGGTTGCAGCTGGGACCTGGCTCTGGCACTCCACCACTGTCCTGAAATCATTTAGCCAGCCCAGATCGCCGCTATGCGATCCGGGCTGGCTGGATCAGGCAGAAGCGCCCTCTGATCAGGCACTGTAGAGGGCCGCCCCCAGTGGCCTTGGAGGAGCGAGCGGTCCCCCGAATGACAGAGCTGGGTGCATGTGGCAGAGAGAGGGAGCCACTGCATCTGCGGCCAGGAGCTTTGTTTAGCGGGCGTCGGTGATGGCGCCCCCCCTCAGTCCTGCACCTGGGGCTAGCGCCTCCCCGGTTGTTACGCCACTGCTGTGCAACCCTACTAAATAGTGATATTAACGGAAAAAGATTTTTTGATGGAGTAGCACTGGGACCTTACAGTTATCCTATTGTAATGGAGGATATGAAAGTATTTGATTAGGTATCTGAATTTTTGGGGTTGGCAGCTTCTCCACACCGCAGGATGTCCACTGTCTTAACCAGTTGCTGACAGACTCTGCGTTCTAACACACTAACAACCTGAAAAACGTACACTTTGTACTCATTTGTACTTTCAGTTCAGTAGCTACTACCTCCCTCAAAGTTGTGATGAAGGAGGCTCTCCGACCCACGAAATGTGTTGGCTTTTTAATAAAGTACTTTATTTCAACTTGGAATAAATCTGTATCTGGACATTTCATTTTGGGCGCTTCGATCTTAGCTTATCACCAACTGGTGAGACACTGATGTAAAACAAGAATAGAGTTTGTTCTGTGTCAGTGAGGTACTGAAGCCTGCATTGGAAGGACAGTGCCAAAGCCTGCATTTGTAATGTGAGTCTAAACTGTAACTAGATAATATTATCATAAACAATTATTATCAATTGTATTCATCCTTCACCCGGCCTGTTTTAGCTACTTCCAGTCTACATACCCGTGCTCCAATAGCAGATGCACTTCATTGCGCTGAAGCAATTTCCTGATGGTGACAGGGGGGCACTGTGCAGTGTTTGTCAAGAAAACCATTGAAGTCTTCATCAGAAGCATATGTTACTAGGTGACAACACAGGAACACAACTGGGAGACAACTGGGACAGTTGTTGCCCCACAACAGGAAGTGCCCCAGCAAGGGGCTTTATGGCAGAATCACCAGGTATTCTTTTAACGAATGCTGTAGATTTAAAAAGATTGAAAATAACCTTTGAAACCACCTTAATGTGTTAAACCTCATATGAGATTTTAGTGAATGGGTTTACATCTACTTCAGCATCTCCCATATACCTAGTGTAACATGTCAATTTTACTTTCTAATAATACAGTTTACAACAATGTGAAATGTACTCAGCAATGCTGCACACTAAAATCACCAATGGTCAGTCTCTGTTGAGATATCTGAATGAGAATTGTCAGGCCTAGATGCAGCAATAGGAGTGAGACCTTCCTGCAAAGGGAGGGGAGGGGGCACTGGGCTGGGCTGATCTTAACCCTCGATTTCTCAAGCAATAAAATATAGCCATGAATTAATGAATCTTTCAGGATCTACTTAAAACTAAAATATCTGTTTTGGGTGAACTGGAATTTGAACCTTGTTTGCTCACAATAGTAAATCAAAGAATTTGCTATAGTAAACATAATCCACAACAATAACCAGTAAAAGTGAAGGGAAATCATGAATGCCAACCCAATTTGCCAGAGTTTACTGACAGACAAGCGCTACCTGTCTGCCTTACGAGTGTAAAATTCATTTCACGTCTTCCCCTAAAGAACCATTATTTTATTCATGAGGTTTTGTTTTTTTTCCCTCTCTATGCAAGAGCATTTATTTTGTTCTAAAAAATAGTCTGAATTTGAGTCACTGCAAATCCAATGAGGATCATAAAAGATAAGACCACAAAAGTGTATTTTAAGCTGAGAAATCATACTAGATATTTTTATTATTGTTGAAGGAATATTATATTGATGTAGACTTCTGTGAAAAAAATAGCAGAGATCAGAGGTGGTCAAGGTCTCAAAGGGAACACTCAACTTAAAATACAAGCTGATACTACAATAAAAATTCACCTCTAAACATTCCTAAATATACTGTATATCTAAAGGTTGCGCTTTTATGGCTTAAAGCTAAGCTCTGGGCAACAACTAAATGCACAGCTTGGAGACCTGACTTTTCCTAATGTAGTTAAAGTGACATTAAAGTATATTTTTTATCCCTCCCACCAATGCTAGTGTAACACTTACCTTAAATGATGTCTCCTAATGCGATCTTCTTCTTCTTCTTTCCTGTTGTTTTCAGCTGTCCTTCCAGCGCTACTGCGGGTCTCCGATCCAGCGCTGACTCTTCTGTCCTTGCTGGCACTTCCTGTCCCACAGTGTCTGTATACGGTTGCACGCTGTTCATAAACTTACCTTGTGTCTCTCCTCGTCTCCTGGCCGAAAATGTGAACTGCGCATGTGCCCGCCCCAAGATCCTTACGCTGTTCATAAACTTACCTTGTGTCTCTCCTCGTCTCCTGGCCGAAAATGTGAACTGCGCATGTGCCCGCCCCAAGATCCTTTGCGGCCGCCCAAGATTTTTTCAGATTTTTGAACAGGAGCACGCGAGCGAAGACACAGGTAAGTTTTAACCTCTTTTAAAAAATCTGAGGGTTTAATAACCCTTTAAGTAATACAACTGGGTCTTGTTCCTCCCCCAGCCTGAGACGAGGTCATCTTTCTGTCTCTCTAATTTCTCCTTCTATTAGTATGTTTTTTTGTTAGCACATGAGCACCACAGCACACCTAACTGGTTCCTTGCACAGCTTCCTCCTCCCCCAGACTGAGCTCTGCTGTGGAGAGACTTCAAGAAACTGATGTCAGGTCAAATTTAGGTATTTAGAGTAGATGCTTTTAAAAATACACTTAATTATTTTGTAATGAATACATTACCTAAACGAATGAGTGTTTGTATCTGCTTTGAGTTCAGCTTTAAGATTTAACCTACATCATCATGGAAAATCTAAAACATTATCCAGTCTACCGCTACCCATCCAGTACATGCATACATTATTAATTAATTCACTATGTATTTATTATAATGTCTTTCACAATGTGAGGTCCACCCCCATACTGAAGACACCCAGATGATGCCCAAAACACCAAGTATATGGGTCACTATCTCCATAAGGGGCTGATGTATAAAGGCTCTGCCGGTACAGCAGAACAACCACTAGGAATTTCTTGTGCTTCTCAGCACTATCTACTGGCTGTATTGGCGTGCGACTGGCATTGACCCCGTTGTACATCAGCCTCTAAGTGTTCTGTGTGAACATGCAGAATGCTTTTCATGATGGCACTAGCTCGTAAGCTATTTAGCTTAAAGAGAATCTGTCACCAACTAATGCTTATTAGGATAAACATCTCTAGTTAACGTATTCACATAAACTAGAGTATACTAGGCTGTATGTATTTAAAAATTCTTTTGATTCCCCCTTATGCTAAAAATAATTTTTATTAACCTCAGACATATTCCAGATGCAGCGCTCCTGGTCCCTGTTCTGCTGTCCACCAAGGTCCTGGCAGGGGCCAGGGAAGATTTGCATTAGCTGTGTTTCCAGACTGTGTAAGGCTTCCTCAGCCCCCGCCAGGACCTCAGCTAATGTCAGGGCTGGGGACAGGGAGCAACTTCCACGGGTTTAGAACATAGAGACTTTATATTGTCAGTGGTGATTTTAAAAGGACAGGTCTATTTTAAGCAAAGTGGGGAAGAATTTTCAAGCAAATACAGCTTAAAATCTGCGTACATCAATGCTTTTGACTTTAGAAAAAAATAGACACCATATATCTCTCCTGCCATAAATGCTTTTACCTGCCCATCAGCATTTGTTTCAGCATGCGCAGCTCAGTGTACAGCCTTGGCATGATTTTGTGCCAGAACAAATCATGGAAGTTATGGCATACTGGTCTGGTCATTTAAGATGCCAGAGAACCCAGAAGAAAACAAGACAAAGATGGAAGCAATAGTGACAGACCGATGAGGGAGAGAGATTGCAGGTAACTGCCATAATGTGAAAATAGCCTGAGCATACATACACATTACTGCAAAAAGCTTCTAGGGGCCTCAACAGTTTAGTTCTCCTTTAAAGAATGTGCCTTTAAAGGGAGCTATAAAACATGTCTCCATCTTGAGAACCAGTCTCCATGTCTCCATCTTGAGAACCAGTTTTCAGATATCAGCCTCTTTTTGCCACAGCTCCAGGAGGAGAGGCAGGAAAAATGGAGTTTACGTGTAACCACCATATCCCACTGCTTGTATTGTAGTTACACCACCGCTGGAGTGCTAAGGTTGCCTACCCCTAGATTAAGATTATATTTTTTGTCTGGATGAAGAGATAACCTAAAGTCTATGGGACATCAGTTTACACTGCCATCAGGGGTTCATTGAGGAGAGAAGTGAACAGACATGTTTTCAACCGCTTTTATCCTCTGCTTAGACAGCATTGGAGGTGTTTTGCACTCCACTCCTGCCCCTTTCACTAGTTTAAACATTACCTGGCAGCCACCATAAACGCCTAATGGTGCCTATGGTGGCAGATCTCATACATGGTTAAACAGCACACACTTACAATGTATTCAAAAACTTACAAGGCCATTGCAAACTGTTCCAGCAGTCTCTTTTTCAAGTCTCTGGTCTTGCAATAAAACTCAAAGCCAAATTGCCCATGGATATGTATAAGATAAAAGCCATAAGACCACTGCAAAAAAAAGATGTAGAATATACATTTAAAATGACTGACAAATTCAGGATCATACAGATATTACAAATACATGAAAACAAATATTGTTACTTAAGAAAATGTGAAAAATAGGGGTCCCTAAAGGAAATCAATGTTTTATAAGATGGACCATAATAAAGTGAATACAGTATAAACTCTTCACACTGGCTTTGATGACATCACCTATCATATAAATGTAGCCCCCATGTATCATTCCTTTGCTGGCTGACTCCTCCAAAGGTTCCCCCGGACATGCAGAATCCACAAGAAACCTGCACAAGAATGGTACTAATAGGCAGACTTCCTTCATAATTGGCAAGCGGTGAGTATCATACCACACTACAAGTGCAGCAACCCCCAAAGTTTGCTGAACTTGTTATAATTAATGCTATCACCAAGGCCCAGTAGGACTGAAACATGTAAGCAAGTGTTGCTTTTATGGACGTTACAATATGAAAGAAGGATACATTTGCAGGAGATTCCTTGTGTGCTGCCATCCTGCTGTTAAATGAAGTGCATCGTTGGAAGGTAGATGATGTACAAGGAGGTCCGAGCGGTGTATCCAGTAGTTGCTGCACTCTGGTACCTGCTTATCTAAACCATTTTAAGCACACAATTACTGAGCCCTGATGAAGAGGGTCTTTGTGTGGCCCCTGAAATATGCTGGTTGTTTCTCTGCTGTAAACCAATTTTATCATTAAAAACTGTGAACTCTTGGAAGTTGGATTCTGTTCAGGCAGACATTTTATTGGTTAAAAGGATGGAAACTGCAGTCTATTAGTGGACCTAAATTAAATTGTTAACATAAAGCTATGCTAGCAGGCTCAATGGGAAGTGTCAAATAACAGAAACTCATTAAGCCACTTACATGGAAAACAGATATAAACATAGTCCTCATTCACATGGGCGTGCAGCCGTGCGCATCTGCTCGCTGATCCCCCCTCCCCTGACTGACTGATGATCAGTAAGGATGGGCTCGGGCGTGTTCGCTGCTCCACGTGCCAAGTTTGCCAGGAAGCTGACAGCGCGCAGCACCAATCACAGGTACTGAGACATTTTCCCTGCCCGCAGCTGCAGAGATCGGGAAATGTCTCAGTGACTGTGATTGGCGCTGCACGCTGTCAGCTTCCTGGCGGGGCTCGGCACGTGGAGCTGCGAACACGCCCGGGCCCATCCTTAATGATCAGCACAATCAGCATTATCTAATACGCTCATCAAATGTCTCCCTAAAGAGAACCTGTCACTACTAATGTGCTATCACATAGAAGGCTTATGAGCGAAAACGTTGATTGTGCCGCACATGATGGGTATCGTCATGCACACCAGAGTGAATGCAAAAATTCTAGAGCCATCATTTACTGTCAACTCTAAATATGACCTATAAAAGCTTTTACAGCATTGCCTATGGATTTTAGGTACAATAGTTTTTCACCATTTCAAACCTGCATGCATATTTGACTCCTGATATATCTGGTATCTAATTACTTGGCACAACCTAATTTTTTTATATTATAATCGGTTATTGTATTGTGTTTATGTGCACTAAATTTAATTTTAAAGTATTTTTTTATGAAATTTTGGGTTTGATATAGTGGCTCTAATATCAGGCAACATAAAAAATTGCAACTGGCACCATTTTATTCTGCAGTCTATGCTTTAAGGAAATATATAATTCTGGGGGGTTGGAGTAATCTTCAGGCCTAAAATGTGCATTTTAACATATGTACAAAAAGAACCAGTAAAAACGGCTCTGGCAGTGAAATGGTTAAAGATAGTCCACAGACACCCACGGGTGATTGGCAAGAATTATCTGGACTTCCATGTACCACCAATAACTAAACTGTAAGGTAAAAATGGCTCACACGCATGCGCGTGAGCCTATGTTTCGTGTTGCTGGGAAACATGCTCTAGTGTGCAGATGCACGCAACAGGAAGTGCGTGCAAAGACGCGGAACCAAAAGTGCGCGGAAGGACGCACACCTCAGTTGCACAGGAAGTGAAGCTGTCACTTTAATGGGCTGGTCTATATAAACGAACCTGCCCTAACCAGGTTGCTGATGGTATTCACCTTGTGCTTCCTGTGACTTGTTACCCTGTCTGACTGCCTCCTGCTCGTTTTTGACCCGGATTGCTTTGACTCTTCTTGCTTGCTGCCTGCCTCCTGACCTCGGCCTGATTCCTGGACTCTGCCTTGCCTATTGACTTTGTACTACGCTGCCCGCCTTGTCTGACCTCTGACTTCGTCTGACGATCCTAATCCTAAACTTCTACTGCACAGTGTCCGGACCATCCACTGGCACTCGTGCTCCTTGCTGTCCTCTGCACGTCCTGTTCCCACTTCCAGGGGGTGCAGGACACGAGACGCAAGAGAAGCCTCCTCGTCCTACCGGTCTCCCACCAGGTACGTGATAACAACATTCCCCTTTTCTCCTGTGGCTAAGTAACACAGCTCTTCTGTAAATGTAAACTTTGTTTCTAGAGAAATTCACATTCATTTCGTGCACCTTTTCTTTTGCCATGTTTTTTTTTCAGTAGTACCCTTATTTATTTCCTTAATGTACCTTTTTGTTTTCCTTGTCAGTGGTTGGATTATCGGTTACTTTGTATTTCTGGAGATCTATTATCTCCTTCATTTCATAGTTGTCCCCTCTTCTTTTGCACACAATAACCGCCAGATCAAACAGGAATATATACCTTTAAAAGAACATATAATTAACAAATCAGCATTAACTGGATTTAATACTCAGAAAATTACATTGATTTTACTAAGTCACTTGCTTCCTCTTTGGGAGTGACCGCGTGACCCAGTAAACATGTCACTGGTCACTTTATTCCCATGGAGGCCTGACCTTGCAGCTTAGTAAACATATCACTGTCACTGGGTTGCTACGTTCAATACGCTCACCAAGCAAACATGTCAGTGTTGTTAGACATATCTGTTAGTCATTATGGTATAACTGTCAGTCGGTCAAAATATTCCTTATTTCTACTGACCTTTAGCCAAGAAATCAGGTTACATTGTTACAAAATCACTTTTATAAGAAACATGGTAACCACATAAAGGCTCTTTTACCTGTCCTGCCTGCGTTTATCCAGTGTGCTAAACTTTATCTCGCAGTCCACCTTCGGTCTTCCATACTGTATTAAAGGCTGATTCTACAGACAGAAGTACAAATGCCAATAAGAATGAATGCAAATAAACTCAGAATTGTACAGATACTAATTTGTTTACCTGCATGTAGAAAAAAAATATAAGTAAGGAATATGTACAGTATACTGCCTATCTTGACAATGCAGGTTGGAGACCTCCACTTAATAGACTTAAGTGAAGGAGTTGAGAAATCTCTGAACCCTCATTTAACCCTTCTAAAATCCTTTGGGGCAGACCACTAATTTTCAGCACTAAGCTCTTGGCGCAGATAATTCCAGCACCCATTCAGAGGTTAATACATCTGAGGCATTAGGCAAAGGAATGGGCCAGCGCCAAAATTTAGGATGTTAAGATTAAGAGTTAGGGTTTATTCTAATGACAAGTGATTGCTTAATTTTTAGGATGTGTTAAAGGGGAAAGTCAGTTTTAAAAATAGGTAGTAGGAGGATTGCAGAAATTTAGTGGTGGAAATTAATTACTATGGACAACAGCTCTAGCCTGAAGTAAAAGCTGCTTTATTTCTACTTTTACTTGTCTATAAATTTATTTTATTTAGATATCTGGTTTAGGGTCAAGGCTGACAATTAATTGGAAGGGTTTAATTAAACATTAGGATTCAGGAAAGTGTTAGAGGCAATTCCAAACTTAGTGCATAATATGTATTAAGTTATTATTGCCACCTGTATCCCCATTTATGATGATTTAAAGGAGAACTATGAGGTGAGTGAAAATCACTTATCCCCATAGTTCGAGCCGACGTGTGACAATGAAACTGTCCCACAACGGCTCAATAGATCGGGAAATGAGCGAACGCATACCGTCGCTCGCTCACTTCTCGATCATCTCCCTGCAGAGAGCAGTGACTGTAACCCACTGCTTCCCGCAGGGATTCCCCCCTCCCCGTTCCGATCCTCCAGCGCTGACTGGAGGAACGGACGGGGGAGGGGGCGGGTACAGCTGGCTCTGCCTCTAGATAGGCAGAGCCAGCTGTCATTCACGCAGCTGAGAGGATCTCAACAGCATCGGGATCCGTCCTGGCTGCGGCGGTCACAGTATACCGCGAGCTGTTGCTAGTATATATCCTCCCATGACCCTTAAGAGAACTATGGGGAAAAACACTTACCCCATAGTTCTCTTTTAAGACAAAACAGGAAGTGGGAAAATGTCTCCCAAGTTTCCTGTCTATTTAACAGGGGTTAGACAGAACAGGAAGTGAGTGGAATTGCACCCTCCCCATGTGTAGACAGGCAGCAATAAAATGAGGAAGGTGAATTTATTTATCTATTACAGGTATTTATATAGCACAGACCATTTAGACAGCGATTTAAATATTCAATACCTCAAGGAGCTTACAATCTAAGGTCCCTACCCCACATGCAGATACATAAACATAACTAGAGCTGATTTAGACAGGAGCCAATTAACCAAACTTTTGTCACTTCCTTTTGCCACCCTGACTTCCTGTCCAGATGACAGTTGTCAGACAGAACAGGTAGAGAAGGGAAATCTTCTCCATGGAGACACTGATAGCATTAGCAATTGCAAAGAAAAACAATCTCATGGAGGATACAGATTAAATTTAATACACAACACAAGTTGTAACCCTTCCCCAAGCAGCTTAGAGGTCATTATTTTTAGCTGTGTGTACTTATGGTAAAGTCCCGGTGATAACTATCAGGGTCTAAAACTAACATAACCCTTTGTTGTGTGCTTCTGATCCAGTGTTTCTCTTTCACCCTCTGTTGTATTGTTCTACATCCATTAAAATATCTGTGAATGACTGACACTTAGCAAAGGAAAAGAGAACTGGACCTATTTCAAGAAACTCTGATGGCAAATCGATGAAAGCAGGCATGGATATGAACCATATAACCATCAGCCTCAACCAGGCTTGTTTAAAATAATACTTTATTGGCCACAAACTTTATTATAATCTTAGTCCACATTGCTTAACCAAGTCAATATATGTGACATTTTGTAAAAAAAAAAAAAAAAGAAATAGAACATTAATTCTAAGCAAAGATCTGTCATGGTTAAAAATAGGAATTAACTCAGGTTAGGACTAAACCTGGTCCGAACCTAAGCTCCTTCAAACCCGGATGGAAGCTCTATAAAAGCCAATTCCCCACCTGCAACTTGACATAAACAAAGGGGTGGGATACAGTGACGTAATTGACCTTATATGGCTACATGCCTATTAGGTAAATGATGTCAGGTAAAGCATCCCACCCCTTTGTTTCAATGGAGCTGCAGAGTGGCCGAATGCCTGTACTGCAGCTGATTGGGTGGAAGTGGTCATGAAGTTTGGGCTGAACCTGAGCTTATCCCTAGATACAACCACGAGTTAACTCACTTTATCTTCTACTGCTGCTATCAGTTCCTAGCCTAGAACAGGCACCTGTTAAAATTCATCTTTGCCCGGTCACACAAAAAACTCAGATATGTTAAAGCTGGCCATACACAGATTTAATTTTGCCCGTTCCTGCTGAATCGGTCAAAATTTGCTGTTGGCATGACTCGGCTCGACAAAAGTAAATTTTTCATTTGACTTTTGACAAAGGAGCCTGGTGAAAGGTTGTTGATCAACTTAGCTGCATTCGTTTTTTTTCTCCATTCCCACAGAACGAATATTCACAGAGTTTTGTAGAACAAATAGGTCTGCAAATTGTTTATAAATACCCCCTTAGTGTAACTGCAGCTAAAAAAAAATTGGAATTCTGGATATGAAGGATTAAAAATTCACCAGGCTTTAATTGCGTGACAAAAGTGGAAAATCTTAAGCATGCAAACTGTGCTGTACTGGGAAACTGATAACTGAACTTCCCAGCTAAATATGCAGACATCTAAGTACTTCTCATTTGTTGATGACAGGAAGTATGAGAATGAATTCTCCATTCTGATAAGGACAAAAGTTTTTTTTGTTTATGTCACTGTTAAGGAAAAGTCCCTTGTGGGACATAGTGAAGAGAAATCCCACCTGTGACAGTTATTCCTGGAATCTATCTACCCAGTAAGTACACAGATGGCAGTAAAGATTCAACAGAGATTATGAACACTTCTCGTTCGATTTGAAAGTAGCAAAAAAAAAAAAAAGATGGTTGTAGTTTCACTTTAAATATAGTTACTCAGCTTTGAATACTCAGGGTCTATTGTTCTCTTTTGCACTCTTTGTCTATTGTCTATTTTTAATATCTAATTGATACAAATCATTTGCTAAATAAAAATACATATAATCTTGTGTAGGAAATATTTATATTTTAATATAACATTTCATATTGTACATTTATTGATTTATTGATTTATTGAAGCACTGTACTCTTTTTCTCTAAACATTGTTTCTAGCTACATTTTAAACTTGTCAGAACTGCAAAGACTGCTTTGTGGGGCCTTTCTTCAATATGATCAAATATGAGTTTGATGAGTTCAGAAGCATCTCTGAAACAAGACGTTCTAACCCTGTGTGTCCAAGTGAGAGCTTCACCTTTGAAATCATTCTGACAGTCCTATTCCATAGCAGAAATTCACCTCTGAAAAGAGAACAGTCACCTCTGAAACCTGACTTTCAGCATTTCTTAAGCCAGTGTCTGGCTGCCAACCTTGTAGGCCCCTGTTAAATTCTTCCTTACTGTTTTCAGCTCCTTCATGACCCATTCGCATTGACATCACTTGATCTATTAACTCCACTAACTGTTACAAATAATCTAAGTACATACCATCCCCCTACTTTAAAAGCATAACATTTCAAAGAAGTGTGCCAACACCGCATACATATAAATGCACCACATTAAGGGGGCACAAATGTCTATATATTATAAAGTATTCATTTTAAAAATACTTTTTTTATACAAGAAATCTTAAGTCCGGATCTCATTTAAGGTATTCCATCACAAATCATTATCACAATGAGGTCTTCACTTACAAAACTGCAGTTTACACAGCACTAGGATGGCTCTGACAAGTATAGGAATTTCTTATGTTCATCAGCGCTGTCTAGGTATACGCCGGGAGGAAGTTTTATTAATGAAGCTGTAAGTGTAAGACACCATACCTTTATTCTCCAAAGTTGGGTGCTACACACCTTTAAAAGGTTAGTCCACTCAAAATGGTGTTGCTGTTACAGGTGCAGCCCAGTGGGTAACAGCCTCTGCTTTTTATATGTCTTGCTACCACTGTGGGATCCCAATACTTTTCCAGTCCACTTGGGAGTTTTTGGTGTTCTCATCTACCTTTGAATATCCCAGCAACTGCTATTGCATTCTTTACAATAACTATTTAACTGTATCCACCAGGGAGAGTGGAAACCCATCATAATGACCACAACTATTTTGCAGACACAAACTTCTTAACATCCACTAAAAACGGATATATACATTTTGGGTGGATTGGCCCTATACTTTCCCTTCTCTACCGATATGAGTTTCATCTTAAGTGTGGAACATTGGGGGCCTTCCAATAAAAGGGATTTATTAATAATAATGGCACTCTTAAGTAAGTAAATCTGCCAGATTCTTGTACTCAAGGCTGTTAGCTTTCTACAGTTCATTCTGAAGGTCCATTAGAAAATACTGCAACCTAGAAAGCAAATGCAGATAAACATGCACATCTGCTGTATAACGCCCAAAAATCAATTAATTAAAGTAACTAAGTATTTAAAAAAATGAAATGCTTTCTAGCAATATAACAATCACTGAAAATGATAACATATAATGCTTTTCTATCATGGCTTGCCTGGCATCCACATAGTTCAACACCTAAACAATGATTAATCTCATCCTGCCCTCCAATGGACATTACAGATATTGCACCTTCAGAAGAGAAATTTGAGGTTATAACTGAAATTGTAACCTTTTCTTTTACAATTCTGAGCATTTGGGCAAGATAAGTAAGAAGGACAAAACACAATACTCTGAAATCCAAAAAGTTTAATGCTGGTGGCATAGATCGATGTTTAGATTCTGCTCCCCAGCTACAAATTTAGTTTTATTCATTTTCTACAATTTATCTAACTTTCCAATCTGCTGTTAGGTTGCATAAAAGCAATATTTGCCCTTCATCATTTACAGAGTACATATATTGACTAAAGAGGTTATTAGGGGATTAACTGGAGAACTCCCAAGATCAAATGAAGGCTTATTGCAAGCTTGAAGGGTAAATCTGCAATTACGCACTTCCAAGATCATCCTTAGTAGCATGTCAATTATCTTTGTCGCTATAAAAGCCTTAAAATTTGTTCACTGAATGTATTATTTTCCACTCTGTGCATCACATAGCTATCACCTTCCTGTGTAATAGTCAGACTGTACTTTGCTTCTGTGGGGTTGATTTACTAAAGACGTATAGACTGTTCACTTTGCAAGGGATTTCCCTTAGGTTAGTGAAAGAGGTAAAGCTTTCCTTATCTCCATTATCCAATTATATAAATACAGGTTTTTGTTTCCTTGCACATGATTAGATATTCTTTGCAAAGTGAATTTTCAACACATTCACTAAAATTCCCTTGCAAATGCATTTAGTAAATCAACACCATAGTGTCTAAAATTATACCTTTTCTGCTTTCACTTGTTTAGTACATGTTCTCAGTTGCTTCAAGACAAATATAGTTCTGCTACATATTAATAATGTACAAGGGTCCCAGTCCATTAATATTCAAAATGTATTTGCCTCTTGCAACATTTGGGCTACTCAGCATTCGGTTAGAAGAGCGGTGTTGTCACCCACACCTAGGCAGCACGGACGGAAGCGAGCAAGGTAAGTTTATTAATTAACTTGTTACCCCACAGGTGCTTCTTACAGTACTTAGAAATGCTTTAGTTGAAAATACACTGAGGTGAACATTGCCATTGACAAAAATAAGACACATCTTATCATTAATTTAATGTGCAGTTTATGTGCAGCAAACTAATAGTCACTAAAGGGACTATACATAGCCTGTGCTCACCTTCCTTGTGTTACCCAACATCCCAATCTACGGCCAAATGGAACAACAGGCAAGTGCAAAAACGAAACCTTTTGCTTTGCCAAGTATGCTCAACACTACTTCGAAACCTAATGTGTTGTTTTTATTTTATTTCTTTCAAATAAGTGGATCTTGCTATTTTAATGCAGGGTCCACTTTTAGATTGTCCATGAAGTAATGTCTCACGCAAAACAGCATTCAACAGATACACACACATGCACTGGTGGAGCCTGAATGTTTGTGCCTATGGATAAGGGGCAGGAAGTACTCCAGAGTTTGATGGCATTCTCTCTCAAGAGAAACCAATAACCATCTACTAAGGAAATCCTATCGTTGCTTCTGGCCTACTTAAGAGGGAGGGAGTTCCTTCTAGTGAGGGCAGCCATAATTTCCTTTAGAAGCACAGCCGGATGTAATCGGAAGAAGATGCAGGCCATGCAGGATGGAACAAATTGATCACTTCATGTACAATCCAGATTTTCATTTCCTTTTTGGTGCAGCTGCACATGCATGATATTTGCACCCTGCCTTGTAGACTCACAGGAGCTTAGCAAGGCTTTTCTATCATCAGAAGCATCCTGCCACAGGTCAATGGACTACACTGATGACATCATCAGAGGGTAGGGTCTATGAATATGAAGAACGTCCTTATGATAGCTTACACTTTCACTTATATGGCAGTTGCCTGGCAGCCACATAGTGCTACAGAATGGATAACAAAGTGGGCTTACACAAAAGAAAAGTTGCAGAATGCCTATTGTAAGTGTAATATCATTCACAACTTACTAGTACTGCACTATTTCAAGGACAGATTTGCCTGATCCTACGTCCTGCTATATTTACAAGCAGCGATTTGTGTGGCAGTTAAAACAGGAGATACCCTAACTTCCTTGAAAACACATGCAAAAATACATTAAAAATGCATGTTAAAAACAAATGCATTGTTATTGAGGGCTGGTTCACATGTTTGTATTACACAACACGTGCATTATCTGTCTGCATGTACTGCCTGTATTAAAACGTATGTAAAACAGTCTCAGATGTCTGTTTTCCATGCACTTTTCATGCAGTTCAAGTCATCTCTAATGGAGATGTGTTTTATTAAAATACAGCAAAAGTGCTTCTTACAGTACAGTACTTAAACAATGCTGTAGGTGGAAACACATTGCCACTGAGAAAAAGAGAACATATCTCACCATGAATTTATTGTGCAGTTTATGTGCAGCAAAGTAATAGTGTACTTACCTTCCTTTTTTTACCCAACACCCCAATCTACTGCCAAATAGGACAGCGAGTAAGTGTACTATTGTGATCTTGTTGCTTTGCGTGGTATGCTTAACCTGAAACATAATGTCTAATACAGGGGTCAAAATTTGAAGTCCTGAGCTACTAGCCAGGCCTTAAGAGTTACTCGCCACCAGTTGCCCACCTAACCCCTACCCTGCTGCGGCCTTAACCCCGCCCCTAAACACGCCCTCTTAAATAATCTTATCAATTACACTGTTACATGTTTTATGTTTTAAGTTACAAAAATAAATATTAACAACTTTAACAATATTACCATATTTTGCCTTAGATTGTAAGCTCCTTGAAGGCAGGGACTGATGTGACTGTGCACTGTGTAAATTGTCGGCGCTATATAAATATCAATAATAAATAAATAAAATAGAATGGCTTCCCCTCATTACTTACAAAGCAAGATACACTTACCAAATTCTCAATAGAATGTTGATACTGCTCGATTTCCCGCATGGTTTCTGTGTCCCTTTTAACCTCATTCACATATTGAGCTAAATCCTGCAATACAAAATAAACACATTAGTGTAGAGTGTACATATAGGGAATCTGTTGTGTTGTTTAATGTTTTTTTTTACAGGGTTATTCACAAAAGGGTGAAGAGTTTGGAGAAGGTAGGAGAAGTGAACAATCTAGGACAACATAGCTGAACTGGAAAGTGAGCTGAATTGGAGAAATTTTCCAAATCAGCTATTTTGGCATAGATTGTTCACTTCTCCTGCCTTCTTCAAACCCTTCACCCTTTTGTGAATAAACCTGTTAATGTTCAAGCGAACCTGATCACCTTAATAGAAATAATTAACTTTTCTTTGAAACCTTCTATGTACATCTTGTCATTTTAAATGTACATAGGAGTAGTCTATGGAATTTTATCTGTGGAGTTTGCTTACTGTGAGCACATCAAGACAGAGGTTCAATGGAAAAAAGTGCTGAGTATGAAAATCAGTAGTTGGCTAGAGTAAGTAAGTATTGTAGTATTTCTGATTGTTTTTCTTAATTTGCTTACTTGCTCAACATTGGTATTGTGGTTGTTGCTGTGATGTTGTTGCTATTGGTGATTGCTTACTGTGTTTTTGGTTCTACTAAAGTAATTGCATAGTTTGAACACCAGTAGCTTAGAAACGGCAGGAGTTTGGAGACAGAAGACTATCCTTGATAAATACATTGATTTTAGTAATAATGTTTGAACATGTCTGGTTTAGTTCAGTGCAATACTTGTTTGGCAGTTGTTTTCTGTGGTACTTTTTGGAAGCTGGGATACTGTCCTGTTTGTATGTAGATTTCCAGGCTACATGGTGACATTGCTTGTCTGGAATCCTTGGTTTATGCCCTTCAGTCTGAGATTAGAAGGATATGTAAGCCAACTGATTCTGCTGAACTACCTTGCAAAAAACACCTCTTCCTCAAATACTGAGCAGGAAAAGGGCAGTGTGGACATCTATTGAGTCTGAAAGAGTGAGAACTATTGTTGTACCACAAGGCTCTGTACAAGGTCCTGTTCTATTTAATCTGTTTGTCAGTGTTATAACTGAAGGCTTGATAATCTTTTTGCTGATTATACAAAGGTGTACAATAGGGTTGATATTCCTGGAGGTGTTTGTTGCATAAAACATGAATTGGCATTGGTCAATGCAGTGGAAACTGCAATTTACAGTATGCTTATTTCAGACAACTGTAAAATGAGCAAACATTGTGGCCTGGAAGTGGTGAAAGCAAACAGAATTCTAGAGTGTATCGCTAGAGTAAGCACCAGCAGGAGGAAGAAGGTCCTACTTCCACAACAGATATCCTTGGGTAGACTTCATTTAGAATACTATCTCTGGAGTCTCTGAAGTCCTCACTTACAAAAGGATTTTGAGTCCAGAGATGAGCAACAAAAATGGTGAATGGTCTGAGGGATAAAACATATCAAGAGAGACTACAGGAACTTAATATACACAGTCTAGATAAAAGAAGGGAAAGGGGGGACATGACTACATTTTTTAAACACATTAAGGATGTGAAATAGGGTCAGGAGGGCAATATTTATAATATAAAGTTGAGATCAAGAACCTCAAATTAGTAGAAGGAGAGTTCAAAACTGTCCTTAGAAAGCATTATTTTACCAAAACAGCAGCTGAATCTTGGACCAGATTCCCTCAGACAAAAAGGTTAAAAAAAACATAACCATTAAAAAGAAGCTGACCCAATGGAACACTTGCAGGGTTATTCACAAAAGGGTGAAGAGTTTGGAGAAGTGAACAATCTAGGACAATATAGCTGATTTGGAAACATTCTCCAATTCAGCTCACTTTCCAGTTCAGCTATGTTGTCCTAGCTTGCTCACTTCTCCTGCCTTCTCCAAACTCTTCACCTTTTTGTGAATAACCCTGTAGGTCTTTTTCTGCTGTGACTCTATGGGGTTGATTTACTAACCTAATAAACATGCCACGAACAAGTATACACCTCTGTAGTGTGTTCCCTCCCAGCATGATCTATTGGTGGAATCTAGACACCTTTGTAGTGTGTACACACCCAGCAGGTGTGTTGAGCAAAGCCCTGCATGAATTGCAAGGCGATGTTGTGTAAATTAGCTCTACGTTGTGTTGCTTGCGTTGACGAATGCAGGAATGTAAATGCATGAGCTAACCATTTTTGTCTAAACTGTGAAGCAGCATTATATATGCATCATGTGCATGATTTTTCCATATATGGCATTAGTGGAAATATGCTTTTAGAGACTTTTATGCTGCTATTAGAGCGGCGTGTAGCCTATGGTGCATGCTACATGACGCGCACGTACATAAATACATAAAAACGCGCCATAACGGCGTGAAAATGTGACACGTTGCTCGTGTTTGGTTGATAAATACGTTTTGCTGTGTAAAAATGCACACGCACCTGGTGCGTGTGTGTGTTTAGGTTAGTGAATCACACCCTATATGTTTGCTCATTCCATATGCTGGCTGTGCTTCATCCATTGTAGTCCTGAACAGTGATTGTGGCTTTACCGTTTCTCTCTCTCAGTGCACGTTTATCAGTCAGATCTGATTGATTCAAAACAATACACACTCTTTGTAGCTAAGATTTTACCCCAGTGGTTGTTGATGAGGGAGCTCAGTGACTGCATGAAGTACTGAAAGCCACTAGAGTAAAAATCTACAAAACTGCATGACTCCACCTGCTATGCTTAAAGGAGAATTCTAGAAAAAGGACAATGCTGGCACTATAGCATGGCGCCACCTGCTGTGCATAGTCAACCATTTTTATAAGCAAATTTTGCCCCTTTGAAAACTTTGAAATTGCAGTCATATGATATGATGGTGCTTCTATGTCACTATATAGTGACATTTCAACTTCTCGATAACTACTTTTCCTCCGAGTGGTGGCATAACAGGGCATGTATGGGCATAAACAGGGTTTTGGGCATGTTTTTGCTTCAATATACAGATTCATGTTAGAATGTGATAATTCCACTTATGCCATACTGAATAGTACTCTGCAGTGTTGACACACAGAGCAGTGTCAAGATATCCAACACCATTCAGCATCTTTACAACTGACAGGCTGCTGTATATAAAAGAAAGAGGGATTTAACAGCATCAAAATATTACTTGGGAATGGTAGTATGAATGTAGAAAACCATGCAGTGTCTCATCTGTTACCGCAATACTGTAATCAGGCCTCATGTATGACAGATTGCCTGTTTTAGAAGATTACTGTAATTCAGTAATCCAATCCAGCAGTTGAGCACCAACCTATAAAAATAGAACAGCGGTGAAATAGATAGAACAGATACCTTCATCGCATCAAGTGACAAACGCAAGTTCTTTTTTTCTGTATCATCGGTAGTGTGTTTAACCAGCTCCTGGAAGAAAGAACAAAAAGCACCACATGGATTAAAATGTAGTAAAATATTACCATGGGATTACAGATCTCCCTTCTGACATTAGTAATTGCAGCAATCAGGTGATTTACCAAAGATAATGCAGTAACACAATAAAAGTGTGTTATTCAAGAATATTCACACAGGCGGTCAGAGGTCCAGTGTGCAAACAGCTGCTGATGAATGGCTACATGCGAACAGCGCAGCACCGAACATTGATTTGTACAGGGTAGAAATCTGGCAGCAGCCACGGCTGGCCGCGGCTGTTCACTCAAGCGGTGTGCATGTAGATTATAGCTCTGCCAGCAAGCATCACCATTATTCTTAACTGTATCACCAGACTCCTAGAAAACTGAATACACTAAACAATACAGAGAAAGCCAGATTCAGTAGCTGACCTAGCCTTGTTCTTTTTTTCCCCTAATTTAGAGGTATGCCTCATACCACAATCATTTCCAAATGATTTGAAAGGACCAGGCAGAGGGCTCATCCAGACCTTTATCTTCTCAATCTTGCTTTTGCAAACGTTATCAGTAACTGACTGATGATATGGTAGACTGCTACATGCAAAGCAGATGAGGCATAGATACACTATACTATAACATTGAGCTTTGTAAATAATATATAAGCTTGAAATACCAAGAACATATAAAACTAGTTGCTATTCTGGCAACAATCTGTTTAGCCAGTATAGGGGTTCATGCACACAGGCGCAAATACAGACATATTCTACACTGTATGCCAATATGCCTGTATTTGAGTCCATGTGCTTGAGCCCTTAGCTGAGTTTAAAAGCCCAGTTCCACCCAAAAAAAATTTGGGGGTTTCACATCACCCGACCATTCACACTACCGTTACATGGATGGCAAAAGTGGCAGACGGGCAAGGAGAAGGCGGGGGGAAGAGGCAGAGCGGGAGGGAGGCCAAGTTGCTGCACCATGGGCCTCTAGGTTGTACTTGCCCCCTGGGCTAAAAGTTGCCAGTCAGCCCCTGGTTAGAACCCATACCTGATTGTATTGCTGTGTCACCACTGGTGAATTTCCCCTCATTTCCTGTTCCACTGACCATCAGTCAAAGGGACAGAAAGTGATTGGAACTCTCTCTTAACTCTGGGACAAAACAGTAACATAAATACTACTTTGAGTGCAGAAAGGTTTCTTTCATATTTTCATTACTTGTTTTTCTTGTCTTGGCAACACCAGTTTGTTTCTCTCATTTGCTATCCTAGTGTAAGGGTGGGCAACTCCGACCCTCCAGCTGTTGTGGAACTACAAGATCCATGAGGCATTGCAAGACTCTGACAGCCACAGGTATAACTCCCAAAGGCAGATGCATGATGGGATTTGCAGTTTCACCACCGCTGGAAGACCGAAGTTACTCACTCCTGTCCTAGTGTCACAGAGACAGAAAGTGAGAACGAATTTCTTCAACAGAGTCAAAAATAGCAATAGAAACTGGCAATAAATTAGAACTGCAATAAAACAAAACATATCTGAAAATGTTTGCATCAGTAAAGTCATTATCCACATATATACTAACTGGTAAACTAATACACTGTAGTAAGCGTTCTCCCCACAGACTATTCTTTAGATTGGCTTTGCTCCCCTAAGAAGCCAAAATCATATTTGATTACAGCAGCTTTTCTCTTCCAAGAATAGGATGCCGCTGATAGCACAGAAAGGAATTCCCAACCATGCGCACTTTGTAGCATAAAAGGCTTTTATTTTAAAGGATAAGTTAAATTTTTGTAAAAATTAAAGAAATGCATAATTAATAAAATATTTTTAAAAATGCATAACATTCAAGCCTAGAAAGCATTGCAATCGGGATCACTCGACCACAGCTGCAAAGCTCAGGCTTCTGCACATTTTCAAACTGGCAGAGCTCGTACGGAGGAACAGAGTTTCAGTTAGCAGAGATGGGGGGAAGGACGGCTGGACTTAAGACTGCTTTAAATCACCTCATACGGCGTCCAACCATCCTCCCTCTAGGTCAGGAGTGCCCATGAGGTCGATCGCGATCTACCAGTCGATCGCGTACCGATCACTGTTAGATGGTGATGTCCTCTCCTCCCGCCCGTGGGTCTTCTCCTCTGGATCCCCATCTGTATGCAGCGGGGATCCGAGGAGAAGTGAAGGAGCTGCTGCTGCTGCGGCGGGCGGGAGGGAGGGAGACGGAGGGGGAGAAGGACGGAGGCGCTGTCACTTAACTAAGGCCGAGCGGTGAGGAGAGAGACGCTCGGCCAGGATCTGACAGCCGGCGCATCTCTCTCCCCTCAATGCTCGGCCTTAGTTCTGTGACAGCGGCTCCGCCCCAACCCCCACGCGGCTGAAGTGCTTCTTTGACCTTTCCTCGGATCCCCCGCTGCCTCTGCCCGGGAGATCCAGAGGATCTCCCGTGTGCTTGGCCGAGCGGCAGAGGATCAGTACATATCAGTGATATGTACCGGTCCTCTGTGCAGGACAAACACTGGAGCGATCAGTTGATCACTCCAGTGTTTGTAAATAACTGGGGACACATAGTACTATGTATCCCCAGTTATGAATGAACAGGATGTGATTTAAATCACGTCCTGTTAATTCATGAGTTTCTCAATGGGGAGAAGCTCCTCCCCATTAAGAAACTGGATGATAGTAAAATATTTTCTGAATGAATGGGAAGCCTCTGTGCTTCCCATTCATTTAGAACAGAGGCTGCAGAAAAAGAGATTGAGGACTTTGTGTCCTCAATTTCTTTTTCTATTTTAAAAGGGAAATATCAGGAGGCTGTTTAGACCCCTAATATGTCCCCAAAGCTCCCCCAAGAGTTAAAAAAAAAAAATTAAATAAGAAACAATAAAAATAAAATAGTCAAAAATTAAAAAAAATCCTTGAGGCAGGACGCTGGGTGACATCACACCCGTGTTGGGGGGGCATGATTTTTTCTTGCCTAGGGCACAAAAGGAGCTGGCTACGGCTATGCTCCCACGGTGCTCGTGCGGCTGCCGGCTGAATGTGTCAGACGCAGCAGATAGAAACGGGCACCGTGGGAGGACAGGACGCTGGGGCCTCTAGGACGCACTGGAATGTAAGCCGGCCGACTCCCTGCGTTCAACCCTCTCTGCGTAACCCTTGCAGCCATGCCCCCCGCCCACAGTGTGATTGCCCGCACCCGGAGCGCAGGCACATTAGTGCCGGTCCAGTGCGATCTGCAAAAGTAGTACTCGCAGCATTTTTGCGGATCGCACTGGACTGGAACACAGGGACTAATGTGCCTGGGTTCCGGGTGCAGGCGATTGCACTGTGGGTGAGGGGCCTGCCTGTGGTGCCTGGCTGCACCACAGGCATTGACTTCAATGCACCGCCACACCTCCTCACGCCCCTGAATGCAGGTGTTTTTTCGTTGGTAGATCTCATTGAGCTCATCATTTGAAAAGTAGATCTCTAGATGAAAAATTGTGGGCGCCCCTGCTCTAGGTAGATGAGGGAATATGGGCAGCTCTACCTAGAGGGATCTACCGAGGGTGCTTTAATGCAGTTTGAAGTCCAGCCATCCTTCCTCACATATCTCCAACCTCCGTACGAGCTCTGCCAGTTTGAAAATGTGCAGAATTCTGAGCTTTGCAGCTGTGACTGAGTGATCACGATTGCAATGCTGTCCAGGCTTGAATGCGAATATTAAAGAAATACATATTTTTGTATATATTATTAATTATGCATTTCTTAAATTTTTGCAAAAAGTGAACTTATCCTTTACAGTAAGCCATCCCAAGAGCGGAACTCTCCTGAGATGACTGTTTTGCCAGTAGTGCAATCTCCTCTTTGCACATAAATAAGATGGTTATGAGAAATGCCCAGTGCATGCACATTTAGAAAAAAAAAAAAACAGATGAAGAATAAAAAAAGACTTTCTGCAGCTCTTTCAGAAAAAATAAATAAATTAATCTGTAACTAGAACAAGGTAACCATTCATGAAAACATGTTTCTATGAGAAAACTTCAACTTTCAAACCCATCTCCGGGGAAACTTAAAAATATCTACTGTACCCCACTGCAAGGGATAAGGGCCTGTTAATGTCTAGGGGACAAAGTAAAGCACTTCTACTTACCTGATTGCCACTCCCCCAGTGGTCAGCACTCACCTCTCTCCCCTCCACCCCGGCTGGTGGACTGACCCTCAGTGTCCTCACATCCAATGAAGGTCTATGGACCTGCAAGAGACATGATGACATCAACAGTCCTTTGACCACCGGAGTGAAGAGGAGCAGAGACTTCAAGTTCCAGTCTAGGAGCCCAGAGGGAGCTGGCGCGATGGGGGATTGGGTAAGTAAAACAGCTTTTTCCTGTCTCCTAGGCATAAACAAGCACTTAACCCTTGCAGTGTGTATTTTTCACTTTTGAAGTTCCCGCCTGCTGTGACGCCCGAAAACGAAACTAAAAGTCAGATGCCGGCTTTTAGTTTCATTTTCGGGCCGCGTACAGCAGAGGACGCCGTGGGCTCGCAGGGACAAGGTGAGTGTCACTTTTCTCTGCAACCCCGAGCCTGGCTCGGGGTTACCGCTCCTAGCATTGAAAATTAACCCCCGAGCCAGACTCGGGATTACCGCCAGGGAGGTTAAATCGTTTTTTACCCTCTAACCAAACCTAATTTGTTTTTGTCATATTGGCCTTTAAATACATTAGAATTTGACTATACAACCAATAATTTAAGATAAGTTTAGAAATGTTAAGTTGCAATGTCTAATTTGTTCTTACAGGAGAAGTATTAGGAGAGTAAAATATACTCCTCCCAATAGTTAGAGCCGTCGTGTGACACTGAAGCTGTGCTGTATAGTTCAAGAACTGAGTGGTCACAAACTGATGATAGCTCAGCTCACAGTCTCCTCCCTGCAGAGAGCGGTGACTTGCGGTCACGGCTCCCCTCAGGGATTCCTCCCTTCCCTCTCAGTTCCTCCAGGGCTCATTGGAGGGACAGACAGGATAGGGGGTGGGCACAACTGGCTCT